AAGAAAATTTTTCTTCAATAGCCCACATGCAGCCGAGCGGTTAAGTAACTGAACACTGGTAGTTCGATCTCAGATTCAAACCCCTGGAACGTGCTGGCTCATATGGGCGTTTTCATGTATTTCCTTACGTGTAACGTGTATAAGAGTTAGTTTTCCTTAGAACGTCCTTCACGAAGGCATCCCTTTCCGTAGGCAGGTAGCCCTCTATGCTTTGCCGTAATCACATAAACCAAACCAAACCAATCTACCTCAATATACATTTTGATGAGCGCTGTAAAACTGGTGAGCTTCGAATAAATCAAAATAACACATTATCTCTCCTAAAAGCTGAAGCATATTATAACACTTCTTTTCTCTTAACACTTTTAAGATCGCTTTTTCTAAAACTTAAACTCTAACTTTACACAGTGCACAAAAAAAAGGGGGGACAGCTCTATATCTCCTATTCTACTGGGCCAACTGACGAAATTCAAATTGCGTTTTTCATGTCTCGAAACCGCGAGTTAGGAAATATATTAGATGTATATATATTCCAAAAGTCATGGGATACTTCCTAATATTTTCTCGGTCCTCCTTTTGCCCGGCGAAGTGCAGCAACTCGACGTGGCATGCACTCAACAAGTTGTTGGAAGTCCCCTGCAGGAATATTGAGCCATGCTGCCGCTATAGACGTCCATAATTGTGAAAGTGTTGACGGTGCAGGGTTTTGGGCACGAACTGACCTCTCGATGATGTCTCATAAATGTTCGATGGGATTCATGTCGGGCGATCTAGGTGGCCAGATCATTCGCTGGAATTGTCCAGAATGTTCTTCTAACCAATCGCGAACAATTGTGGCCCGGTGACATGGCGCGTTGGCATCCTTAAAAATCCCATCATTGTTTGAGTACGTGAAGTCTATGAATGGCTGTAAGTGATCTCCAAGTAGCTGAAGGTCAATGATCCAGTCAATCATCGGTTCAGTTGCACCAGAGGACCGAGTCCATGCCATGTAAAAACAGCCCAGACCATTATGGAACCACCACCCGCTTGAACAGTGCCTTGTTGACAACTTGGGTCCATGGCTTCGTGGGGTCTGCGCCACACTCGAACCCTACCATCAGCTCTTACCAACTGAAATCGTGACTCATCTGACCAAGCCACGGTTTTCCATTCGTTTAGGGACCAACCGATATGCTCACGAGCCCACGATAGTCGCTGCAGGCGATGTCGTGCTGTCAGTAAAGGCACTCGAGTCGGTCTTCTGTTGGCATAGCCCAAGGAAGACAAATTTCGCCGCACTGTCCTGTCGGACGCGTCCCTCGAACGTTCCACATTGATTTCTGCGGTTATTTGACGCAGTGTTGCTTGTCTGTGAACATTGACAACTCTACGCATACGTCGCTGGTCTCGGTCGTTAAGTGCAGGTGGTCGGCCACTGCGCTGTCCATGGTGGGATGTTATGCCTGAAATTAGATACTTTCGGCACACTCTTCACACTATGGATCTCGGAATGTTGAATTCCCTAACGATATCCGAAATGGAATGACCCATGCGTCTAGCTCCAATTACCATTCCGCGTTCAAAGTCTCTTAACTCTCGTCGTGCGGCCATAATCACGTCAAAGCCTCTTCACATGAATAACTTGAACACAAATGAAAGCCCTGCCAAAGCACTTCGCATTTATACATTTTCTACGCGATACTACTGCCATCTGTATATTTGCATATTGCTATCCCATGACTTTTGTCACTTCAGTGTATATAGTAGCATTCTAACATAGATATTTTGATTCAAAATCGGAAGTTTTATAAAATAATATGCCTAAAATAATTTTATAAAATAATATGCATTTAGTTTATGGTGATAATAAAATTTTTATAGGTAACAGTTCAAAACGTTTTTGAAAATTTTAGAAATGTAACTGAAAAATATAGCGAATTTCAATTGTAAATTTCGAATTGTGAAAGAAGGAATCCGGTAAGTTTAACAACAAATAAGATATATTAAAAAATATATACCAAATTCAATTAACACTAAATTTTAAAAGCTAATTTTTTAAAAATTACTTGTACGATTTTTAAAAGCTTGTCATTTTGGCATAATTTGAGTCGTAGAATCGAAATATGGAAAAAGAATCGCATATGTATTTTCAGAAAAAGTCAAATTTTGTGTCAAAATACCTATGTTAGAACAATGCTATATATAAATCTAATATACATCCTCAATCGCTCTTTCAAGATATGAAAAACACAAGCTAAATTTTTTCAATCAGCACAGTAGAGAAGATGATATGAAACTGCCCCTTTTTTGTGTGTGAAGAGTGTACGGAAGTTTAATTCAATGTCCTTTAGATTCTATTAGACAGAAAAGCGAGTTACTGATCCAGTGATTGTAAAAATATTTGTGGCAACACAAAACGTTTTGGTTACTACTTCCCAAAGCCCCCACATTATGTAGGTCCCGCATATTATGTAGTCAGCTGTAAAAAGTTGAAAGTAATTGCTTTTAACATAAATAAAATATCACAATTCTTGCAACAGTCACATAGTCGAAGATCATAAGCGGACTCATGCACCATAAGATCCCATAAGATCTTCGGTGCCGGATCTTCGGATCTTATTGATCCGGTGCCGGATCTTCGGTTCGATCTTCGGATCTTATTAAAACCCATAAGATCTTCGGCTATGTGGCTGTTGAAAGAATTGGGATAATTTATTTATTTTAAAAGCAATTACCACCACCTTTTTACAGATGATTACATAATATAGCTGCTTTCTGAAATAGTAATCAGAAAGTTTTTGTTGTCACAAGTATTTTTATAATATAATCCGCTTTTTGACAAAATTTTCGTCATGTTTCCACCTTGCGCGCACAATTTGAAACATTCTGTTGCATAATTTAACATATAGCTTTTATAAGATTTAGAAACTTTTGTGAACCAAAAATTCTAAGAATTTCACGTTAAACTTTTATTTTATTTGGAGTTGAGTTTATAAAATGTATTTTATTAAAAAAATCTGTAATGTTTCCGTGCATAAAATTTTTTAATATTAAAATATTCATCAGATTTTGGGTTCAGTTAGAAAATAGTGCCCATATAAAGAAATTTCATCCAATTTCAAGTATGTACCATTAGCTATTTTTAAAATATTATGCGCGCAAGGTGGAAACATGAGGTGAATGCATAAAACATTTTGTCACAAAGCAGATTAAATTATAAAAATATTTGTGGCAACACAAACTTTCTGGTTACTAGTCCCAAAGCCCCCATAATTACGTAGGTCCCGCATATTATGTAGTCAGCTGTAAGAAGTTGGTAGTAATTGCTTTTAAAATAAATAAAATATCCCAATTCTTGCAACAGTCACATATTTGAAGATTTTAAAGGGTTTTAAGGGTATGAGACGCTCTAAATATTCAAGCAAATAATTTTCATTTTGGTGAAAACTGCAGAAAGAAGAAGTTATAATAAAGTTTCAGGTCATTACCCCTTAGTGGTACTATTTCGTTTTAGGGACCGTAAAAAAATTGCAGCGAAAATATAGGCGCAAAAGCGCCAAATCTAGCAAACGCGCGCATTTAACCACACACCAAATATCTAGCGAACGTGCCGAAGTGCGTAAATTTAAATAGTTTTATATTGTTACGTTATTTTCTTCCTTCACGTTCATACGGGGTTCTTAGATTTGGAGTGAATAAGGACGACACTTGATGAAGTATCGAAACACACTTTATTTACCAATATTACCAATATTAAACAGATAGCTTCAAAATCACTTTTACAGTCGTCGAACTTTTATAAACAAGCTGACACGTTCAGCGACATGGCCTTCACATTGTCAGACAGTAACAGTGGAAACAGCTTCACTGCAAAGCACCTGAGTACAGCTCCCAACTGTGCTTGGTCATTCTCGGAACTCCACGCGATGCACTCGACGATACACAAGAGTATAGCTCTCGTCTCAGCACAGTCTAAGACAAAACTCGACGATGCACTAATCCGCCATGCACTAAAAGACTCTCTCGATGCACTCAACGACCAACTCGGCGCTAGACTTCGAGACACTTGCTCAATGACTGACTATCAGCTCGCTAGACGAGGCACACACACTGACTGCGGACCAGCAGAGTTATATAGCTTTCGGCTTGTGTTCGAGAACATTCTGGGCTAAACCGGTAAGAATTCGTTCCAGAAGGTTCTCCATCCGTCCATGGCATATCGCCAATTTTGTCGCCAAATGGGCGATTTCTTGCCAAATGGGGCAGCTTTGCCTTCCCTTGCCATTTTATGGCAAACCTAAAATTGCTTTGCCGGGAAGCCATCTTACCGCGCTTGTACATTTCGTAACAATATTTATAAGTCGCCATTGAAATACTAGTTTGATTTTTTAATTCTTTTCTAATAACTCTATGGATTTAACAATTTGTGTATTGCCCAATGACGAAAAGTCTGCTACAGAATTTTTTCAAAAAACAGGCATAGAAATTTATGTTCGAACAACCACGAAATGAAATTATGCTTTAGCGGTAACTCAGTAGCGAAATGGCGGTGCAGGAAAGAAACTTTAATGAGAAGAAAGGATTAAGAAGTCAAAATTGGTTCGAAGGATCGAAAATCCTCTTCCTTACAACCGCTAGGTTCATCTGTTTTTGATATCAGGAGATGACATCTATTGAATTTTGTCAACTCCAGCTGAAGATGAATCACAATACAGCTGTAGACTGGAACAGTTACATGCGTGAGGTGTGACGCAACTTTATTTCTTTTCAGTAGAAGAAGGAATAACTAGGGTTACCGTAATTATTTTTGGCAGCATTGGCATCAACAGTGGTTTGACGATTTTTTACGGCCCTTATAACGGAATTGTACCTAATTAATTAACTAACATAAAAATTTTACAATTATAATAATAAAATAATCTGTGAATGATTTGATCTATTTAATTTAGGTAACTTTATTCAGAAGTTGGATATTTTGTTAGGTTAGCGTTTAATGCAATATGAAATGAAACACTCACCTTTCCTGAAGACATGGCTGTCAACGGAAGGAAGCAAGCACCAGTGTGTCTCCAAAACATACGGATGAAATCCTTTTTATTTCCTAGAATTTAATTGCTGTTAATGAACCGGAACTACTCATGAGGATGTGACGTGAGAGGGAGTGACAACAATTAATCGGTCATCATTCGGACCGTGTCCAAGAGGCCTGCCTAGAGACATCGCAGGAAACAGATCGGAAAACAATAAGAGGTGATTTTTCACTCTCATTTGTCAGAAATTTTCTTTTCAGTTTTCTCTAGAGAATTCAGGCAATAGATCGAAAGAAAGGATAATATTTAATTTTTCTACAAAAAATAGTTGTTTGGGTTCTGCCCCCTCCCCCCCCCCCTGTTTACGCATGTGACAGTCACAGATGCATTCTACATTAAGGCGTCACCTTTCATTAACTAGCTACCGTAACTAACAATTCATTTAGAAAGTAGATCACTCCGTATCGATTTTAACGGAAATCTGGCGTATTTTTATCCTTTTAAATAGGTTAAAATTTGATTCGTTTTGAACAGCATTATTTTACGGAAATTAAAATTAGCAGTTTAAGGATATTTCGTAGATGGCAGGCAAAATCAAGGAGTATACATAGACAGGTAAGAGACATAAAAATCTGAAAATTTTACTTTTTTACCCTTTAAAAATTAGAAAGTTTTATTAAATTCACGAATTCGCCAGAACAGATATAAGCTATTTTTTGTGTCTTAAATATTAACCAGAATGCAGAAATCTAAAAAAATTCCTTACGTGTGTGCTAATATTTTATTAACTTTAATATACCGAAAATACGTGTAACTTTATATACCTCATAAACTTTAATATACTAACAAGTAATATAAAAAAGAATTTTAAAATCTATTCCTACTTAGGTCAACAAAGAAACATTTTATTTTAGTTGCTTTTTATTAACATTATTAATCATTATAGTTGTATTTTCAAATTACATTATTAAAAATTAAATATTAAAAATTGCATATTATCAAATCGTACTGCATTGCACGGGGATATAAACCAATTTTAATTACAAATAGTACATGACTGTGATATTATTAAACAATTTCAATAATGATTTAATAAAAATGCAATCAAATTTTCATTTTTATTAACACCATTATACTTACATATCTTTAGTTCTGATAAATAGGAATAAATAAGTAGGAATTGAATTTACTATGTAAAAAATCTACATTAACATCAAGTGTCATCCACTACAAGTTTAAAAAAATGTATTTGAACTTAAGTGGTTAAATAAAAAATATTTTATTAATGATTGAAAATTTGAACAAGATATAGGAAGAGTGTGAAGCTAATAGTAGGAATTTAAAAATACATAAAACTTCATATACTTTACAAACTTTAATGTATTGAAAATATGAATAACTTTATATATGTCGTGTTTACTTTCATTTCTCACATAATTATATTACCTCTTTTCGTTGCCCTACGTTGGCAGCACGTTTTTGGAAGTTATCGTCTTTAGAATTCGACTGTTAAAAAAATTGCTTTTCAGAAATAGTGTTATGACGCCACTGTGTGTCATGAATGAAATTAAACTGTATGTTCAATATAATAAATAACTATATTCAGTAAGCACCTAAACTGATCTAATGATATTCTGAATTGCTGTATTTTATTTTGACCATATCATTAAACACGATATAAACTTTAATATATTGCAGTTTAAGAAACTTAACTTAAACGAAACAAAATATGAAAATTATAAAAATTCAATAATTTAAAAATTTGCATTTAAATGTCTTTATGAATTTAAATAAAGATCAATTTGAAATTTTATTTGTTTATTCACCAAAGTTCTGTTTAGTGAGTTGAAATTTTTCACAATATTTATCGTAGTTAAACTCAAATATTTGTAACAGGAAAGCTCTCTCCAGTTTAAATTCCGGCTCGTAAATATTTTAGCTTTTTAGCAGAGATTTAGCCAGTTATGGAAAAAGATTTTTCTAATTAATTATAATTTCGTCAATTCTGCTTTTATCCTTAAACTCATTGAGAAAATCTAGTACAGAAATATTCTATTACACTTCAGTTCTACTTAAAACTTGAATGTCTATTATTTCTCTGTATACCCTTGTATTTTGGACAGACGAGATCTGTTTCATCAGAAATAATTTAAGTAAAAATTTGAGAATGCTTCTATTTTCAAAAAGCACCAATTCTACAGTAGATAAGTATTTACTCAGCCAAATCTCGCGCTTTACATTTTAAAGAAATCCCATTAAACGAAGAAAATTTATAACATAAGTTTGACTCTTTTTGCAAATTTACAACTTCTATAAATTTATAATTTAAATTCTGAATAATTTAATTATTAACAAAAATATATGTTGATGTTATAAGCTTAATAAAATAATGCAGTAAATCAAAACGTTACTTTTAATAACTTCTTTAACTTTTAATCATTTCTTCTCCACTGAGAGAGGAAACGTTTGGTTAATATATTATTACGAAACAGACTTGAAGAAAATTCCTGGATATATCTTGCAGCAAAAGAAAAGAATATCATTCTTCATTTCGTCACTTTAGAGACATAATTGAATGGTCACTTTAGTGTTTCTGCCGCTTCGTCTGGCAAGCGGTATGGGGTTAAAATCATGAAAATTCATGACGCAGAGAGATGTCGGATATATACGTATGTAGAGGTGTACACAGATTACCTTAACATAGTTTTCCTCAATGTTAATATACCAGAAACTTTATGTCACGAATATTGCTTTATCTAGCCATTTTGTCTCTACGAAACCTCGTTTATGCCCATAATTCCATACCAGAGGTGTACATAAAACATAAAATACTTTATTATAGTTTTTTTTAATTTTTCCATACCAGATGCCTTACGACGCTTAGCGATTTGTTTCTTAAAAGAATCATGTATATGCACAATAATTCGACGACAAAACAGCACGTAGAATGGTTACATATAATCGTTTGTCAATGCTTACATGTAAGAAATTTTCTAGCTATTTGTCTTTACCAAATCAGTTTAGGCCTAGACATTTTTTTTCCATTTGCCTTATTTAAGTATTGCTGGTAATTATACGATGCTATCTAAATGCTTGTACCAGTCTATGCTGGTTTCTATTGTCAGTAATAGTAGTCCATTGTCAGTAATAGTAGTCCATTGTCAGTAAAAGTAGTCCATTGTCAGTAATAGTAGTCTGTCAGTAATAGTAGTCCATTGTCAATTGTAGTTCCATTGTCAGTAATTGTCAGTAATGTATTCCTGCCCACAATGGAACATTTATTTCCTTTGTCTTCATTCAGCAGATTGCCCCAGAATTTCCAAGCACTAACAGTTTTGATAATTACTGAGCTAATAGAGCCTGATTTTCTTCCACTAATCATGGCTTCATAAAATTATCCTTCTTTCTTCATGTCATTCATTGATTTCACACTCCAACTCCAACTATTTCTCTAAGATACTTTGATACTATTGTTATTATTCTGCATGCAGCAGGAAATTCCTGTCCTGCTCTTTCCAGATTCCTGAGTGAATCCCGAATTGGGCTTGACGTCTGAGGAAGTCCGTAAATAGTATTCTCCAGATGAAATATAAGCTGAGGTGGGAAAAACTTTGAAGCCCCTTGCTTCATGAAAGAAGATACCACGACTGGACGGAGCTGTAGAAGGGGCTGTGGTCAGGCACTGTTTAGCTGGTCCACGTAGCCTAAAGCAGCGAATCTAATGTCATGAAGGAGCGTGGCTTGCCAACTACTACACTAAATGAAAAATATATGCACATAATTTAAAATAATTACATGAAATACTCAGAAATTGATCTGTACGCTATTTACATGGTGAAGAAATGTTCGTTTAAGAACAGCAATGAAATGGCTGTTACCTTTCAGGCTCTGGGGGCCGGAGATTGCCTGCCTGAGAGGTGGCATCTTAAGTCCAGTATGTCAAAAATCACAATAAAGGAATAAACAGTCTTAAAATTACTTGGTAGTCAGTTACGGTGCACTGATTAACGAAACAAAAGAGTTAATTAAATCTGACGACCATAGAAGGCTATCTGCACACTCATTGGCTGGCCTGATTTGTTTGTAGTAGGTGGACGGCGAATGGACGTAGAAGCTTGCCTTTGCTCAGGATTTCGTAGGAAAACCTCTTTAAGTTAAGTTATCGCCGTGATATCGCGCGGACCGCGACGTTTCCGGTTCAGTCAGATGGAGCCAGATGGGCAGATAACGTAGCAAGATCATAACAGATGAGATCCAGGCTAATGAAGTAACAGGGGGGGTGACTTAGGACTTGCAAGGAGACACGAGACCAACGGAGAGGCATAGCAGGACAGAAAACCTCTTTAAGCCGAGGCATTGTGCAATCTAAGCACAACGTTTTCCGGCTCTCTAAGGTTTTGCTACTAACAGCCAATGACGATGAAGTTCGCTGCAAGTGATGCTACGTGACTGGAATCGAAGAAAGGGGAAAGAGGGTGAAGCATTGTCACATGAACCCTGGCTCAGCATCTGATTGGGTTTGATTACTAACCTGTGGCGTCTTTATATGCATTACAATGCTGTAAGAGGGCGTTCCTGTCATATGTGACGTCATTTCCTTTACCTGTGAAACCGCCTATTGCATTTGTAGGAATGGTCATTTTGTTCCAGTTTCCAATAATAACAGCATACGTCGTTGGCACCACGTAAATAACTTGAGTTTGCAAATGCTGTTGCAAGGAAAAAGTGTTCATAAGGATTCGACATATTTGAGAATGTGGTTACGGCTCTTACATTATACTTATTTCACAACTGCTTCAAATAATAGGCGTTTCTGTTTTGCTTTTTAATTTAGTGTAAAGTGTTACAAAACTATCAAGAAATTGCAACTAACTGAAAACAGAAAAAAAAAAAGGAAATTCGTGATTTTGGTTCGTTGCTGAAGGTCTATTAATTCCATTTAATGGAGATCTGTTATTTTCATTTTAATTCGGGAAATATAATGTTATCTTCTGAACTCTTTGCTTTGAAAAAAAA